CAGCCAAGGTCTGGCAGAGGGATATGAAAGGGCTGGACACAGCAAGGATGAAGCTTTTACGTCTCTCTCCCTTCCCCTCTCTTAAACCCAGCCATTACCCAGGCCAGCAAGGACTTACATTCCACATCTCCACTGCCCTGCAAGAAGCACCCCCAAAGCCCCATTACCTGGTTCCTATGCCTTGGCCATTGGTCCCAACGAGGGCAAARAGGGATCGAAAGCCTTCTGGAGTGAACCACTGCACAAGGGAGAGGAGGAAGGAACTGAGCCCAGGCTAGCCTGCAGGAGCACCCTGTTCTGCAGTGCCTCAAATGCCACAGGGAGCTTTGGGGGAAGCAGGGAATGGGCAGAGTCCCAGGGGAAGCCCTGGCCAGTGCTCCTGGGCTATTTGGGAGGCAGATCCACTCACCCTGCTGAGATATTCATCATAAAGGGCTTCGGTGAAGAGCAAGCGCAGCAGCTCCAGCTGGCCCTGGCAGGACACGGCAGCASAGTCAGGGTGGGAGGTGCTGTGGGTGTCAGCCCCGGGCTGAGGCCCAGCCCAGCACAGGCCAGAGGCTCCAGAAGGATTCAGGATCCCTTTGGCTCCTCGGCCTGCCCTGCACAGCTCAGGCTGCTGTACTCATAGTGGTGAAATCCACCCATTTTAGCAGCACAAACCACCTACCCAGCAGCTAAACACCACACTGTCCCAGCCCACTGCAGAAACATCTCCCCACAGGAAGGAGCAGAACATCCCATGGAAGCACCACAAGGCCAAAACCCTCTAAACCACCCACTTCCTCACTGCCAGGGCCCTCCCTTTAAATCTGGAATTTCCAGCATTTCCCATCCCTGCTGCAATGAGGTTTCTGGACTCGTGGGCTCACAGACACAGGCAGAGAAGGAAGGATTGAGGATACAAGTGCTGCTGGGTCTCACCTTAAATTTGTCCCCCAGCAGCTTGTGTACAATCTCCTCTTCCTCATTTGCTGTCTTGCTGCAGAACTGAGAGAAGGCCTTGATCCACCACTCCTTGTCTTTAGCCTGACAAAGGAATCAAACAGAAAATTGCACCAACACCACCTTCCTCTCCAGTCCAGAGACAGGGAGGATTGTCAGGAAAAATGCTGAAAAASCCAGGCCAAGGAAACTGAACATTGGGAATAACATCCCCAATGGGATAACAAAACTACCCACTGTACCTGTTTGATGGTGGCGACCATCCTGGCCATCAGCATGATGCTGGAAGTCTCTGGGGGATAATGCATGTTTCTGTGGGAGAAGAACAGAGAAGAGATGAGCAGATGATGGCTGGTATGGAAATGAAACGCTGGAGGGAGGCAGAGGCAGCTGCCATACATGTGGTGAGGCCTGCAGTGATCCATCACACCACAGAGGTGAGTGCAGCATTGCTGTATGGGAATCCAGTAGAGACACATGAACCCACCTTCCTGCTCCAACCATCCAAACAATCCCCTTCCATACTGGTAACTCAGCTGGTGTTTGGGATAAGATTTTGGTCAGGGATGTTGCTTATCCCCTATGGGACCATTTTTTTTGAAAGCAGRGACAGAAATTTATAGACCCATGGGATGCTACAAGGATCTCCCAGAGGCTGGAAATCTGCAGGAGYGAGGGATGTGCAGCTCAGTGTTTTGTAGCTCTTTCAGTGGGAGAAAAATAAGGAGTKCTCAAGACACGTGCCCAAACTCTGRGGCTGCCAACACCACGTCACCCAACCAGCAGGAAGAGCCTGGCAGTGTCCCGTGGCCATGCCCACCCTCTGGCCACCTTGTGCAGGGATGCAAAACAAGGAGCCAGCCCAGGAGAGCCACCTCCTCTGCCCATGGAGCAGCTGGCACCTCAGGCCCTACCTCCATGCCTCCTGCAGCTTGTTGAGGGGGTGTGTGGGGTCATCCCGGGACTGGCCGAGGCACAGGACCTGGTGGTACTGCTCCAGAGCTGCCTGCCTGCATTCCGCACTGCAGTACATCACCTAGAGCGAGGTGAGCAGGGTTGTGAGCAGGGAAAGGGGCTCCCAGACCCAGCTGAGCCAGCTGTRCTCCCTTCCCTGCCCTGCACAGAAAGGCAGACAGCACAAGAGCCTGGCTGGCTGTAAAGGACTCAGCAATCCCAAGCAGAGCACAATCCCTCCTGGCTGTCCCATACCTGGCAGCGGGGACACTGCTGGTGCAGATCTTTCCGGATGCTGCACTGCTCCGGGTGAGGCAGCACCAGGGAGCTCTTCCCCAGCAGGCGCTGGGCGTTCTCTTCTGCCGTCTCCAGTGCCCGCAGGCAGTGATCACAGGCTGTGGGGACACAGGAGGGGTGGGTGGATGGATGGGTGGGTGGATGGATGGATGGATGGATGGATGGATGGATGGATGGATGGATGGATGGATGGATGGATGGATGGATAGCACAGGAAAGCCTTTGGAAAGGAAAGAAACCAGAACCCCGGGCAAGACAACAC